ATGCTGGACTGAAGTGTCTAGCAAGGCATCCACACAAGCATCTGGGCAGCTACCAATGAGAGCTGAGAGGCACTGCACATAGATGTCCATTAACGTACGGGTGGCCCTACAACCCATCCAGAGCTGCAGCAGTTCATTGAGAGAGCCAGTAGCATGGGGAACACGCTGATGTTGGCCTGAATAGGTACTGCTCAGTTGACCCATGAGGTCAATAGACCATGCGCTAATCACAGGTGCCCAGGCCTTTGGATTGGCACGGATAAACTCAGACAGCACCTGCTGTACTTCCTGTATCACATCCTCTAGACCTGGTCCCCCAGCAGGGACGTGGGAAGGTGGAGGTGGACGGAGGTGAGGAGGACCAGCCACAGGGCTTTCATCTAGGGCAGCTAGATGGGCCCGGACACTCTCATCAAAAACACCTCTTAAGTGGTCCAGCACAGCAGCCCGAGCAGGTGGCAAACAGCGCAGCAGCAGAAGACTACAGCGAGCATGTTCCCGGGCTGAGAGTTGGTGACCCAGGATGGGATCTACACCAGTGAGAAAAGCCTTGATTTCCTGGGACAGCTCCTGAGCACTACAAGGAAGCAAAAAAAAAAAAAAAAAAAAGCAGACTTAGAGCACTGGGAGAGATTAGGTAAGTTACAGGCCTTCTGTGAGTTTAAGTTTCTATATAAAACAAGGAAAATAAATTGTACCTTCTTCACAAGAACTTATGAAACATGTATCACATTAGCTATCACTCAATAAATGCTCATTTTCTTTCCATAACAAAAATACTAGCAGTCAATAACTTAAAACTGTCAGCTCTGACTTCAAGCACCACTGGTAGAAAAGTCCAAGAGACTATCTTCAGTTAACAAGCAAAAAAAAAAAAAAAAAAAAGCTGATCTGGAGCTGTGGCTCAAGTGTAGAGTGCCAATTGTGAACCAAAATGCCGAATAAGACACACAAAAAGACCAGCTACCTTGTTTGTTTGTTTTTTTTTGGGGGGGGGGGCATCAAAGCTTGAACCCAGGCTTCACACATGCTAAGCATATGTTCTGCCCTGAGCTACACCCCTAGCCAGGACAGATCCTCTTTAAATTATTTTACATGTATTATTTCAATCCAGACAACAGCTCAATAAAGAAGCACAATTATGATCGACTCTAAAGATAAGGTAATCAAAATTAAGTGATCAGACTATACACTCCAAAAGGATAGGAACGATTCCCTTACACTTTTCAACACTAAATCCCCTTTTATTGAAGTGCTGGTCCAGTACAGGAGGTGTAAATTTTTGTTGAATTGAGTAAATACATTTTGTGTCTCACTCCCCTGCACAACAAAAGCATCCTGGAATCCGGTGCAATGGAAACTCGTTAACCCCCTTACTAAATAAAGGCTCTCCCTCCCAACACCTGTTCTTTCCATATTGTGCAAAAATCTTAGCTACTCACCACCTACCCAACACCTTCAAAGTGCCTGAGAATCGAGTGTCCTAGAGCACAGACAAGAGTAATGCCTTCCAACCTTCCCCTTCTGAAAACATACGGGTTCCTTCTTAGAAGGCAAGAGGCAAATTGCCTTTTCTGTCAAAGAAAGCATCCTTTAGGGGCTGTGCATTCATTCCTCTGTGCCATTCCTCTCTGGTTCCTCAAAATAAAAGAAAATCCACCCCCAAGATGAGGAGAGAGTGCAAGGGAAAAGTCTACCAGAAACATTCAATACGTTTCTGCACCTGGATTATCACAGTCTATGAAAATCAAGGCCTTCTGGGTTCCTTCAGGTTGAAAGGGATAGAATGACTTAGGTTCCCAAGAGTTCTGTTATCCGCAAAGCCAAGAGAAGGTAAGCAATAGGGAGGAGGGAGAGGCAGGACCAAGATCTTGGGAGGGCGGGCACTGGAGCCCAGGGTTTTTAAGAGAAGCAATCCCCAGGTTCTGGGAGGACGCGAACCGGAATCTCTTAGAACCCTGACGCGAGTTCTTGGGGTAGGATCCGGGTATCTACCGAGAAGGCTGGGGATCGGCGCGGGGCCGCGCGGTGGGGGAAGATACCAAGGGCTCTGACTACCTGAGAGGCGCGGGACCGTGGGTGGCGGGGGCAGGCCCGGGAGGCCCCGGGGCCCCGGGAGGGTCGCACAACGCGGACATCCCGGAGCCCTACCCCAAGCCCGAGGCGGGAGCGGCGGAGCTCAGACGGCGCATGCGCGTTGACGAGAGACGCGAAAGAAAGTAGTGCGGAAGCTTCACAGGAAAACGAAACCGACGTTGTTCCTGAGCCGAGCACTTGGGTTCCGCAGCGCATTGATGACAGCAGGAAGTCGACCGACCCTCAACACGTCCCTCCCACCCCACTCGCCAAAGGATCATTGACAGATTGAGGCTTGGCGTGACATTCACATGGATTTCACGTTTGGTGTGTGTGTGTGTGTGTGTGTTTTTGTTTTTTTTTTTTGCCAGTCTTGAGGCTTGAACTCAGGGTCTGGGCACTGTCCTTGAGCTTCTTTTGCTCAAGGCTAGCACTCTGCCCATAGGCACCACTTCCGGCTTTTTCTGTGTATGTGGTAGTGAGGAATCGAACCCAGGGCTTCATGTATGCAAGGCAAGCACTCTACCATTAAGCCACAGTCCCAGCCAGATTTCTTTTTCTTTTTTAACATTTTTCCATTATGGGGCTTGAACTCTGGCGCTGAGCGCTGTCCCTCAGCTCTTCAGCCCAAGGCTAGCGCTCTACCACTTGAGCCACAGCGCCACTTGCGGGTTTTTGTTGGTTTATTGGAGATAAGAGTTTCACAGTCTTTCTTGCCTGGGCTGCCTCTGAACCATGATCCTCAAATCTCAGCCTCCTGAGTAGCTAGGATTACAGGGGTGAGCCACCAGCATCCAGCTTAAACATTATTTTTATACTGATAAAATTACTAAAATGAAGCTCATGAGCTTTTCAAAAGACATCGATACCCAGGCATATTGGTATACGTCTGCAATCCCAACTCCCAGGAGGATCACAAATTCCAGGACTCTCTGGGATACATACATAGCGAGATTCTGTCTCAAAAAAGATAACAGTAATAATAATGATTATTAATGTATAATTATGTAGAATAATAAAACAATTACGTAAAAAGTAATGAAAGGAAGCCAGGCACTGGTGGTTCATGCTTGTAGATCTGAGAATCATGGTTTGAACCCAGCCCAGGAAAGAAAATCCAAGACTTTTTTTTATCAGTTGTGGGGATTGAACTCAGTGCCTGGGCACTCCATTCCTAAGCTTTTTTGCTCAAGGCTAGTGATCTAACCATGTTGAGCCACAGCTTCACTTCCATATTGTTGCTAGAGATAAGTCTCAAGAACAGTGCCCATGCCCTGAGTTCAAGCTCTATCTAGGACAGGAAAAACAAACAAAAAACAAAAAACTGGGACATGGCTGTTTAGTAATCTTGCCGTGGAGGACTAGAGGAATGGCCCAAGTGATAGAACCACAACAGTGAGCAAATAGCTGAGCAACAGCTAGAGACCCTGAGTTCAATGGGGGGCAGGTCTAGAGATTACTATTGACGTTTCAGGACCGTTCTGACAAAAAGTTCTTGAAACTCCACCTCACCAAATAAAGAAATGTGTGGTGGCACACTTGTCATCCCAGCTACTCTGGAAGCATAAATAGGAGCATCACCATTCAGGCTAGCCTCAGCAAAAAGTGAGACCCTACTTGAAAAACAAAAGGCAAAAAGCCTGGCTTCATTAATAAAGCACTGGGTCCCAGCTGGGTGTTGGTAGCTCATGCCTGTAATCCTAGCTACTCAGAAGGCTGAGATCTGAGGATCATGGTTCAAAGGCAGCCTGGGCAGGAAAGTCTGTGAGACTCTTTTTTTTTTTTTCCTTTTTGCTTATGTGGTGCTGAGGAATCGAACCCAGTGCCTCTGGCATGCAAGGCATGCGCTCTACCACTGAGCCACCTTCCAAGCCCCAGTCTGTGAGACTCTTATGTCCCAGAAAACCAAAAGTGGCATTGTGGCTCAAGTGATAGAGCACTAGCCTTGAGCTGAAGAACACAGGGACAGCACCCATGCCGAGTTCAAGATCCACAGCTGACAGAAAAAAAAAAAAAAAAAAAAAAAAGGCCAGTTCTGGGGATTGCCTCAGGGCCTTGGCACTGTTCTGAGCTTCTTTTGCTCAAAGCTAGTACTCTACCACTTGAGCCACAACACCACTTTTGAGTTTTTCTGTTTATGTGGTACTGAGGAATCAAACCCAGGGCTTATGCATGCTAGGCAAGCACTCTGCCAGTAAGTCATATTCCTAGCCCAAAAGTTGTCTATTAACAGTATCTAATTAGAGATGAAATATGGAAGCTGATTCTGTAGTGGTAGAACGCTTGATTACCATGCATGAACACCTAGGTTTGATCTCCAACACTAGAAAAAAGGACAATGGGAAACATTTGGTCTTTATTTTATTAAAAACATCAAACCAAAGAAGCAAGATTAAGTGAAGTAACGTAATTTGCCCAACCTGGCAAAACCACAGGGGTAGGGGCAGGACTGGTACCAGCATCCACACCTGCCTCCCCTCTAATAATCTCTACTTTTGTTAGAAATGGAAAGCTAGAGTGTCACTCATTAGGGAGGCCGGGCCATTGGAGAGGCTGGGTTTTTTTTTACTAGTTCTGGGGCTTGAACTCAGGGCATGGGCACTGTCCCTAAGCCTCTTTGTGCTCCAGGCCAGCACTCCACCACTTGAGCCAGAGTGCCACTTCCAGCTTTTTCCGAATAGTTTATTAGAGGTTAGAGTTTCATGGACTTTCCTGCCCTGGGCTGGCTTTGAACAGTAATCCTCAGATCTCAGCCTCCAGAGTAACTAGGATTACAGGTGTGAGCTACTGGCACCCAGTAAGCGAGGCTGGTTTTTATTTGCCTTTGTTCAAGGAAATTCTGTGCGTCCTGCTTCTGGCCTATCTCCACCTACACTCTTTTCAAAGTCCATCTCTATCTCTACACTTAATCATACATGCCTCAGTCAAACTCTAGGGTTTTATTACAAATGGATTTGATTGCTAGAGAGGATGCTCTCCAGTCTTTCTTCTGTGCCTTTTTCCCTCCTAACATCCCTCTAGGGAAAGTCAGCAGACCACTGTAGAAGAGGAATCTGAGAAAAATGAAGGAGGTTCATGCTTTCTCCAAAGTCCTTTGAAGCAACTACCAAATCCTTCTGGCTTCAGCTGAGAATATCCAGGTAGAGGAGTTTAGCTCTCCCCTTCAAGGTCCTCCATGTCTACATCCTGGGGGGCTTTTATCTTCTTTGGTCGTTTGCACTGTGCTTCACTAGTCCTGGTTGGCTTTGAAGGGGCTTCCACTGAACAAAGGGAAGAAAGAAACATTGAAGAACCCAAACAAACCCTGTTTTCCTTTCACTTCCATCTCTGTGTCCCAGTCTCACCTTCCATAGCTGCTTTTTCTTTCTGTGCAAGCCGGATCTGCTGTAGGAGTTTTCTGCGCTTCTTCCCAGACAGAGTAATGTTGGCCCGAGCACTGGACCTGAACAATAGATAGCAAACAAGGATACACAGGTCAACTTGAACCAACCCAGGTCACAAGAGTGATTCTTTGATTTCAAGAGTGAGCCTTTGATTTCAAATAACTTAAGTGTCTTGAAGTGTGGGCTTTCATGTTGTGAGTCAAGTCCAACATACTTAATTCCAACCAACATACTCTTCAGGATAAGGTTATTACATGAAGTCCTTTTTGTTTCTTCTGTGTGGGTACACAGCCTCTAGGGACTTTAGCTTTTTTCCCTCAAGGCTAGCACTCTACCATTTGAACCACACCTTCCATCTTCCTGATGTTAATTGGAGCTAAGAGTCTCACTAACGTTCCAGTCCTGACTGGAGTCCATCTCCTGAGTAGCTGGGGTTACAGGCTTCAGCTACCAGCACCCTGCTTACCTAAAATCCTTAAGTAAACATTAAAGTTTAACTAAACTTTAATTAACGAATGAAAACTCTTCCCCAGAATCAAGAGTCTTGACATTCATAAGTAAAATCCTGTGTGTACCTTTAGGAAAATTCAAAGAATTGTGTACACTTACAGATGCACTTTTCTGTATGAAAAATAAGCTTACTTAAAAAAAAACCTTAAGTGAATGTACATACCTAGTACAAGATGTGATAGTGACAATCCTGCAGAAGCTGTAAGACGGGTGTGGTGAGCGGCTAGCATAGTTTAGGAACCAACACAGCTGAGACTTTTTCTGTATTAATATGAGCGTTCAAGAAAACGCCAGGGGAGGTTTTGGCTGCTCTGGAGCTTGGAAAGCAGGGAGGACAATAAGAAATCAATGGGGAGGACCAAGGGAAAAGATCTGGCACTCACGCTCTCTTCTTGAGGTGATGCCTCGTGATCAGCCCTTCGTCTATCACCGCCCCAACCACCTTGCGCTTCAGTCTTCGCTCCCGGTTCAAAACTCGCCGGCGCTTGAACAGCTTCTTCTTCAACTCCTACAAAGCGCGGGGGGGGGAGGGGTAGAAGCATGGAATCAGCTGAGGATGCGTTCGGCCACCCGGGTTCCCTCTGACACTTGGCAGCCCCAGTTTCCCATCGATCTAGTGCAGGAGGAGAAGACTCTGAAAAAGCTTGGGGAAACATTCGCAAACAGCCCCCCTTTCCCCGACAGTCACCGTTCGGGGCCGGTTGATCTTTCCTCCCGGAGCACCCATAATTGCAGCGTGGTTCACTCCTGGCCGCACTTCCGCTCTTCGCGACGTCCGCGAGACCACGCCCCCTATCCATCGGACCAATCAGGGCAAGGGGGCGTGCCACGGGCCTATATAAGAGACCTCGCGCCGAGCCGCAGCCTTTTGAAGGGATCCTTGGTAAGTGGGTGGTGTTCTGGAGGTTTCTCGGCCGGCAGCGGTCGTCCCGGGGGTGAAGGGAGGCGGCCTGCATCCATCAAGCCCTCCATTTCTTGGCGGGGAGCGGGCGTGCAGTCCCGATCTCCGTTATGTACGGAGGCAGAAGGAAAGGGCTCGAGCCCTCTCGGCGTCATGTCTTCGGTGCCGGCGGCTTCTCGTACGCCGGTTCTATCCTCAAGCGCCGGGACATGCGTCCCCGATCGAGGCGGAACATGTGAAGCGCGGCGGTTCCCCTTCCGCGAGGGGCTCACACACCTCTCTCTGGTTCCAGGTCTGCGGTCGCCGCCCCGTGATGGAGAGCTGACGTGTTTCCTCCCTTCATGGTACTGTTGCCGCCAATAAAGGCTGTCCACGCAGGTCGGTGTCCGCCTCCTTTACACCCGAGGCTCGGTCCGGGCAGGCTGTGCGGGCCATCCCCCCACCCCCGCCACGTGAGCCAGCGCCGCGACCTTGCCGGCACCTCCGGATGGCCGCGCTCCGCCCACCGCTCCCAGTGCCGACTCTGGCCCGAGCGCGCCGGATGTTGGCCGGTAGGGACGGTGGGACTGCGGGACAGGGCGGGAGAGGGGGAGGAGCGGGTGTGACTATTCCTTGTCGCTGAAATCATGACTTAGGACCCTAGGGTACATTTGAGCCGTTTTTTGCAGCGGCGAGGTTGAAACCCAGCACCGGGTACCCTCCGCCTGCATCCACAGGCTCTCTGGCCAGTAGCTGCCTGGCAGACCGCCGCCTCTGGGATCGGCTCCACACCCAGCCCCGTCTGGCCGGTGTCCCCACTTTCGACTGGTTCTTTGGATATGAGGAAATCCAGGAACTTCTCCTGCCTCTGCTGCAAGAGGCCCGAGCCACTGGCCCACTGCGGGTGCTGGATGTGGGCTGTGGGACCTCTAGCCTCAGCGCGGGCCTCTATACCAAATCCCCACACCCTGTGGATGTACTAGGTATAGACTTCTCTGCTGTGGCTGTGGCCCACATGAATGGCCTCCTAGTGGGTGGCCAAAACCAAGCACCCCTACGCCCTGGGCACCCTGCCTCTTGCCTCCGCTTCATGCATGCTGATGCCCAGAACATGGCATCTATAGCTCCCTCGGGTTCCTTCCAACTAGTGTTGGACAAGGGCACCTGGGACGCTGTTGCTCGGGGTGGTCTCCCTGGGGCATACCAGCTACTGTCAGAATGCCTGAGGGTCTTAAGCCCTGGAGGGACCCTGATTCAGTTCTCAGATGAAGACCCTGATGTACGACTGCCCTGCTTGGAGCAAAGATCCCATGGCCGAACTGTGACAGTGCAGGAGCTGGGTCCTTTCAAGGGCATTACCTACTTTGCTTATTTGGTAAAAGGTTCTCAATAAAACATGTTTTGGTCCCCAATCTGGTGTTTTCTATTTAGCAAGGAGAGATGAGAGTTGCTTTACCTTTGCAATATGGATGGCAGGACTTTTCTGTTGACTTAACTTTCAGACTAGAGATCCGATTACATGGAATATGCCTTGGTGGTTTGGGGTGAGTGCTCAGAAAAAGACTGGGTCACTTCCAACTAAAAGCAGAGGCAAGATGAGTTTTCTGAACCGAACTAGGTGACAATACTCACCCCCAAAGGTGGTATGAGGTGGGAGGTGAGAATATTCCACCAAGCAGCTTCTACAGACACAGGAACCTGTCTCCCCAAGAGGACAGGCGTTTGCAGGTTCCTGACAGTCTTTGTGAGGAATCCAGTAATCATCTTGCTCTTCTTCCTGCTCCCAGTTGATTCCAGGGTTAAATGTTCTTAAGGGAGAGCTGGGGTCCTGTGGACTCCAAGCCCAGCCTGGAGGAATGAGAATTAAGGAGCTCATCATTAAGATTGAAAATTAAAGATGAAGTGTTGAGTGCCTTCCTGCAAAATAAGTTCATACCCCAGTACAGCCTTAGAAATATCTGCCTTCGGGCTGGGAAGATGGCTCAGTGGTAGAGTGCTTGCCTTGCATGCACAAGGCCCTGGGTTCAATTCCTCAGCACCACATAGGCACAAAAAGCCGGAAGTAGGGCTGTGGCTCAGGTGGTAGAGTGGTAGCCTTGAGGTGAAGAGCTGAGGGACAACGCCCAGGCCCAGAGTTCAGAGTCCCACGACCAACAAAAAAAAAGAAAAAGTTCTCTGGGGCTGGGAAGGTGGCTCAGTGGTAGAGTGCTTGCCTTGCATGCCTGAGGCCCTGGGTTCGATTCCTCAGCACCACATAAGCAAAAAGAA